ACCCTAATCCCAATAATCCCCCATATGATCCCAGTTTCCATTTCATTTTCCATTTTCTTTTCCATTTGATTTTCCATTATAGTAAGTACCCCTAATTTCGGGAAACCCCTATTTGGTGCCAGGCACCAGTGCGGTCACGGAGTGCCGCGAGCTTAGTTCTCCTTGCTCGGTTGATCACTCTTGACTCCTGACTGTTTAGGGTTAAGGGTTTAGGGTTAAGGGTTTAGGGTGTAGGGGTTAGGGGTTTAGGGTTAAGGGTTTAGGGTTCAGGGCTTCTTAGTCTTGGTTTTGGGTTCGAATTGTTTTCAAGGTGTGTACACCCCTGAGCCCTGAAACCCCAAACTACCTGGAGATCACCTGAGAAGGCTACCCGCAGCCAAATCTATTCTGTAGACATTTATAGGGACAGATAGGGTTGAGGATTTAGGGTTTATGGTTTAGAGATATTACCCATATAATGGAGAATGAAAGGGAAAAGCGAATGGACCATGAAACTGCCGTTATGCAGGGCAGGTATTTGGTATGAATAGTGGGAAATCGAAGGAACGTAATCCTACTAGTTCTTAGTGGGAACAGGAAATGTAGGCCTTATATTATCCCTATATAGCACTTCCTTATTCCCTACGAACCAATAAGGTAATGCGGTGTAGGATTTAGAGTCTAGTCTGGCGCATGAACTTCCCAAAGTTGTCATGTCAGAGATTTTGGTTCTGATTTCCTTCCCTTGCACTGCAAAAAATCGTTGAGAACACCAGCCAACCATATGAGGCCCTAGCTTATGGGGCACAGTTTTTAAATCACGAGCTGTTCGTTGTGGCTGAAAATGGTGCTTTCTCAAGCCCAAAATGCTGCTCTCGGGCTTGGGGACTCAAACTGGAGATCTTCAGCCCTAAAATCCATGAGCCCTAAACCTGCCAGTCTGGTTTGTCTTTAATTAATAAAGGAACTTCATCAAGTTCTCAGAAAAAGAGATGCAACAAATGATGTGCTTGCACTAAAAATTCAGAAACTTAGACCCAAGTCCTTAACAGCAAGCTGGCATTTCATTTGCTCAGGTCTTGCTTCCGCCGTCGCGAGCGACTGTGGTGCTGCTGCAGAAACCTGTGTCAGTGCCTTAGTGGGCTGTGTGGTTGCCAAATTAGGATTTTGCTGCGCTATGTGCCAAGACGGGGATCATGTGAGGATAATCTTGTGCCACCTAACAACTGCTTGAACTCCTCGGGTTTAGGGTATGTCAGGTGACACGCAAGATTTTCTCCATCCACGGTACGGGTATATAAACAAACGTATACACAGGTCTTAAGGAGTCGCTGTATTCCGTGATGAAAAGCCTGACGCATCCCCTAATGGTGAATCTCCCTTATATGGTACCATTATGTATTGGTTGGAGTACGCATTATGAAGGGGGGGGGGGTTGTTACTAGGGAGAGGAGATTAAGTCAAGTTGTTCAACCCTAAACCGCACTTAGGACCCCCCCCCCCATGTCTCGGCAGAAGGCACTCCCACCGAAAGTGCCGTCGAGAAAGGGCCGTTTAATTATAACAATAATATTTTCCATAATGGCAATAGTCAATTATAGTAATAAGTCGAGTAATAATAGTGGCAGTCAGTAGTAGTAATACTCGTAGCATGGTAGTATTAATAATAGTGGCAATGATAGTAGTAAAAAGACTACCAATAATAGTAGTAATAACAGGAGTAATAATAGTAAGACTTTGGCATTTCTTCATGTGCTTGGATGCATCTGAGAGGACCTGTGCTAGATCAGGACCTTAGGTATGTGGGGGGCAGGTGTCTACAGCAACTTGCTCATAGATCCTGTAGGGTTCAGGGATCATAGGGTTCACGGATCACGTTTTATGGTTTAGGGTGATCTTTTTGTGACTTTCACATGGCAGCGTCTTAAACGTTATAATTCCTACTTGGAAGATTTGGAAGCTTTGTAGTGAGGTTGTACTGCAGGTGTACATTCCGGAGCTGAAGTCACAAAGCCTGGCCCCCCCATGTCTTGAATAGAGTTTAGGGTTAACGGTTTAGGGTTTAGGAGACTCAGAATTTCCTCAGGATCCTGACTGGCCAGCAAAGAACCCTGAGTTCTTGAGGCCACTCCGATGCAGAACTTAGTTGCCAGTCTTCATAAGATCCACAAGCAACCAAACACGGAGAACGACCGCAAAGAGGAAAATCAGTGTAGGGCCAGAGAAAGGCTTAACCCCCTCAATTCTTCTACATAACCCCTATAAGAAACATCTTCCAGTTGATTTTCTTTTTGATTCTCCAACATTGACAATTCTTCAATTAGGCCCCTAGAACCCCTATGTAAAATTAATTTCTGTTTCATTTTGAATTTTTGCTTTCAATCTGATTCTCCATTATTGGTCATTCAAAAAGTCCCTGTACGGAACCAACAAGGGTACCCCAATGTAGACCCCAAAATAGTACAATCCTTGGTGTTGGGACCCCCAAAAGGGTACTCCCAATTTTGGGAAACCCTACATTAGGCGGGACTCCGTCAGGTTGCGTGGCCAGTGAGGACGGCGCAGGGCGCGAACCACAGCACGTCAGCAACGATATGAGCTGCAGAGTATGAACTTAGGTTTGTGGACCCATAAGGGAGGTATGCGGGTTTAGGGGGTGACTGTTAGCGAACATACAATAACTTTAGTCCAGGGCTCATATGGGTATGTGTCAAAGTTTTGGGTGGCCTGTATAGTGATGTGCTCACTCCGGGATCTGCCAGCTGCACGTTTCCTGGTCTAGCATGGAGCGTTCAGACATCCTACTTGCTTTGCTTGAAGATCTGCTGGAGTGGAAGCCTAGTGGTAGTTTCCCAAAATGAGGAGACCCTAAACCCTAAACCCTAAAACCTAAACCCTAAAACTTAAATCCGAAACCCTAAAACTTAAATCCCAAACCCTAAATCCTAAATCTCGGAAACATAACAAGGTTCCTTCACAGGATACCTGGTGGGGTTCAGAAATCCCCCTCAAGCAGATGGTATAGGTATTTTGTAATAAGATCCCCATATACCCCATATTCTATCTACTTAGGGGGGACTGTAAGTCTATCATATTCTGCAGCCCTCGGCATGGCCTAAATTCCTTCAATCGCAAAGCGCAGCGGATTCCAATCTACAGCCCAGTCCCCAACCCCTAAATACCCTAAATACCCTAAACCCTTTCCAAAGGAGAACTCAGGAACGGATCTCATAGTATCTGCTGGAAGACTATCAATGATCATTACGGCCCGCAATGGTTCTGACCTCATCCTTGACTGAGCACCACGGAAATCAACGTGCTTGACTTCCGAGGCCACATATCCGAAGGTCCTAAGCCCAAACCCTAAACCCCAAACCCTAAGGTCCTAAGCCCAAACCCTACACCGTGAACTACGTAACTTCAGATTCCTGAAAGCAGGCGGTCCAACCTTGAGTATAGCCCTGATATAAATCCAGATCCCATGTCATTTTCAATCTTCTTTTCCATTTGATTTTCCATGATTGGGGCATTATCTCTGGACCCAGCGCCCAAAACCTTGAAGCTTGAACCTGCACCAACCAAAGAACCTCAATCAACTAAACTCCTAAAGCCCGAACCTCAAACCCTAAACAACGTATGTAACGCCCCAAATCTGAACCCTTATGCATTCCTACCATGAAGCTTGCGTTGGCTCGAGAGCTAAACCCTAAACCCTCTAAACCCCAAACCCTTAACCCTCTGAACCCTAAACCGTCTGAACCCTAAACCCTCTGAACCCTAAACCCCGAACCCTAAACCCTAAACCCTAAAACCTAAACCCTAAATCCTAAATCCTCAACCCTAAACCGCTTGATCTCTCAACCTGGGCCGGTGCTCGTTGCTGGATCCGCACCCCCCAAGGGCTTGGAGTGGGGTTTAGGGTTTAGGGTTTAGGGGGTTTAAGGTTCAGAGGGTTTAGGGTTCAAGGTTTTGGTTTTAGGGGCAGTCAGATTACAAGTGGATTATGGGTTTCTAGGGTTTGAGGATTAGAGATTTTCCTTCCGTCAGTTCATGAACCTCGTGTAGAAGTTTCCAGAAAGTGGTGTGCCCTTCTGGGGAATCCCCACACTCAGGATGATCTTGTTTTGGCGTATATGCGGGCGTCCCCATGTTTCGGACATGCCATAATTCAGGCATATGCTGTTCTAGGTGAGACTTGCTACTGTGGGGGAAGCATCTAAGGCTTCATGTTGGTTTGAGGGAGTTGCTGCTGCTCTTTGTGTTGGTCCTTTGCAAGGGCTTAGGGATGTGTAGGTGTAGAGTTTCCACGTGGTGTGGAGTTTGAGTTTTCAGGGTTTAAGGAAAGGCTCAGCCAGACTGCAATAAACCCATCCCGTGAGGTAGTAAGTTGAACATATGAGCTATAGTTGAAAATCCTGAAAGAGGATATATAGAGGATTGCATAGGGGAGTAGTATAGGGGTTATTAAGGGGGATACTAGGAGTTTAGACTATAGGCCGTATCAGTTTGCGCAGTCTGGTTGCATTGTCCTGAGGATCGTTGTATTCCACCAGAGCACTTAGCGATTTCACACATAAAAATCCGATAAACCCCGATGTACACCCAGTTTCAGTTTCATGTAATATGAACCCTCATCCGGTTTTCCGTTGTTGGGGTAGTACTACTACTCCCTGTATATTCCTACATCCTCCTGCATCATCGCCACATACAGCCTACATAATCCCTATACAAACTTTGCATAATTCCTACACTATAAAATCCCTACGTGACTCCCACATCACCCGAAAAACTCCCTATATACTTCCTATACTTCCGATATTAACCTATATAATCCTCACGTAGTTCTTGTATTACCCTATATCATCCCAATATAATTCCTATATTTCCCTATATAACCCTCATGTAATTCCTACATCGCCTACTAAAATCCCTACATAAATTCCTATATTGCCTTATATAATCCGTATATACTTCCGATATAACCCTGCCGCCCCACCGAACCCAGGTTTGAGCCTCCTGCCATGTCGCTGGAAGACGCCTGCCTGCAAATGTCAACCCTAAACCCTAAACCCGGCTTCTCATTGAACAACATTTTTCAATTTCATGTATACCTGAGCCCAATATATAGACGAAGCGTGATCATGTTTAATAGCATTTCAACAAAAACCCAGAAACCCTAAACCCTGATCAGCCCAAATTATCTCAAATAGTCCTAGCTAAGTGGAAGCCTTGAGGTGGGTGGTAGCAGGGGAACTCATTATTTTAGTAAGCCTTAATAAGCCCCAGTAGTCCCCAATAAACCTGAACAAGGTGCACTGAGGCACTAAAGCAGACCGCGTGTAAGAAGGAAACCTTAAACCCTAAGCCCTAAACCCTAAACCCTAAACAAATCCTAAGTAGCGGTCCTCTTGTTTGAGCGATGTGACCTTCTGCAAGGCGCCCTCAAGCCTCACATATGAAGGGATCGCAAACCGGGGCGCCATAAAAACCCCTCCATATAATCCCACTTTCCATATCCTTTTTCATTTTCTGTTCCCACTTTTGGGGTAATATTCCTATACAGCCCCTATATAATCCCTTTCTGTAGTAGCTTGCTTTGAATTTTCATTTGCTGAACAAGTTTTTGCACAAGCTCAAGGCGAGATTGCTGGAAAAGCTGCGAAGGGTAAGCGTGGGCGCCTGAGACCGCTGCGACTGATTAGGGTTTAGGGGTTTAGGGGTTTAGGGTTTAGGGGTCTAAGTTTCAGGGTTTAAGGTATGTTGTGCTTGAGGTTTGGGATTTCATCTTGTTTGATGAACAAAATCCTGGGAACAAGTTTGTAGGTGGTAGGGTCGTTCTGTCTTAGCAGGAGGAAGTTACCCAGCAAACCCTGTTCAGCCCAGTCTCCTCCCCCATTTAGCAGTACTATAGTCGAACCACGATCCCTCTGTTTGGAGACCCTGGAGATAGGTAACATGATGCTGTATACATGTATATCTATACACATATTTCCCTGTGATGGTAGGTTTCATAACTTCACCCTTGGTGGTAGTCAGTAAGGATGGGAGAGAAGGACCCCACAGCAACACAGCAACCCCTTAGATCATCCCGTGCTACCATAATACCCTTGCGAGCATGGGGACCTTCAACTGCTCAGCTCTTGAAGTCGATACAAAGGCCATATCCATCAGGGTTTAGGGCGGGCCCTAGACCCTGAACCCTCTGACACACATCCTGGAGGCTGGGTGTTGGTAGTAGCAGTAATGGCAACCACAGGAACTAATCAGTTAGGATTCGGGTTTAGGGTTAGGCTACTAAGAGGAGGAGGCGGCGTGGTGACTTCATGCTTTCGCTGTCGACTTTCATATTCCCTCAATAATTCTCCTTAGCAATCTAAAAGGAATCCCTAAGCCTTAAACCTTAAACATTGGGTACTGACCCCCCTCATCAACAGTTGGATATCATAATCTAGTTATGTATAGCCCTTAATATGACCCCTATTATAGACTATTGCAGGACCCAACTGAAACCTAAATCCTAAACCCTAAACCCCCCTCTTCAAAGACGACTTCTGCAGGCAGAGCCTCAGCCGAAGGTCGACGAGCCCAAGACTCTGCCTCCGGCCGGAGGCCTAGGAAGTTGGCGAACCCCCCAGGTTCATAGGTCTTAGGGTTTAGGGGTTTAGGGTTTAGGGTGTAGTGTTTCGGGCCTATAGTCCCCCTTAAGTAGATAGAATATGGCTTGGGGTGTATTAGAATACGATCCCCATATACCCCATATTGTATCTACTTCAGGGGGACTATAGGGACTTGCTGAAGGGTTAGGGAGTTAAGGGTTTAGGGCTTAGAGGTTTAGAATTGAGGGATCACGAGGGAGCTCCCTGAAGCTGTCGCTGTTCAAGGTTCTAACCCTGGGCCCCAATGACGGCCCTTGGCTCTTTTTGCGGGGCTTCCGAGGGGCACTTTAGGGTACATATTGGCTACGTAAATGCAGGGTTTAGTAGGACTCCGGGGTTTCGGGCTGAACCCAGGGGGGCTCGTAATCAGGATAACTGGAGTTATTAAATGCGTGGTAGGGGCTATACGTTATATTTGCGAAGTCCCCCCAAACCTGATTCCCCAAGTACGTTGGATATTGTGCGTTCAGAGACTTCAGGGTGCAGCTCGGAGATGGGGTTATGTATGGGTCTATATAGGAGTTGTATAGGGCTTACATACAGCACATGTGGTGGTTACTTGCCCGCGCTCCGCAGGGAATGAACGAATGAGGTCTCAAGAGAAGCTGATGATGTGTCAGACTGCTCCAGCCTAATCAGAAAATGAGCACTAACACGAGCGCTTGAATCCTGAGCAACCTCTTTCTCCTCAACGAAGACCGTAGCCTAAACCCTAAACCTTTTTTTCTGGGGAGGGCGGCGAGGCTGTAGTCTGGTGTGTCGTGTCAGCTTCTCTGTGGATCTGACTTCTTCATTCCCTACTGAGTTTAGGGTTTAGGGTTTAGGGTCATTTGGGGGTGGAAACTGGGATGATGTGGGGTTTGACTGGGATGTTTCAAAGCGTTCATGTAGGTCTATGAGAAAATGTGGCAGAGATTATTCCAAAAAGGTAATTTTCGGAGCAGGAAATTTGATCAACTGCCATATGGGGTAATGTTGGGAGAATTGGGGATTATAATGGAGAACCAAATGGAAAAGCACCTGGGAACTAACTAGAAACTGAGATTGTGCAGCGAGAGGGGGGGGGGCAAGCCTTATCTCGTTTAATTGCTAGTCTACATATCTCTGCTTCGCAATGTCTTGCGTAGGTGTTGCTTCAGGGTTTCCATTTGTCAGGGTGGTAGGGGTAGCGAGAGCAACAACCATGTTTATAACAATGATGCTGATGATAGCGGCACTGTACAAGGTACTGTAGTTACAGACAAGGCAGAAGCAACGTCACCATCATTGCCACAAGCGTTTGAATAGTTTGAGTTTTACGATTTGAGGCTTTGGTGCTTCTTGCAGCGCAGGTAGCGGCAGGTCGCGCACCTAGTGAGTCACAAAACCAAAGTTTGGAATTCAGAGTTTCGTTTCTGACCCTCTTCCCAGCTCAAACTTCTCTCCTGGATTTCTTGCCTGCGCATTGCCACTGAGGAGTTGTCGACATGGAGGCATAGATTTGACGGCTTCTTGCCAGGATCTCAGAAACATCCCCTGCTTCCATCCCTTGAGGGGATCGGGGCCGTGGTGATTCAGATTCCATTTGCCCCCGAACTAATATGGAACCGCATGTAGGTCTCGTTTGCAAGCATTGCAGACTTTGCATGGTCATTTTGGGTCTCCATGTTAGATTAACTGTTCTTGAACTTGTTGCGGCACATTGGGTTCCAGGTGATAGGCGAATCTGACTGGATTTGGCGGTGGGGTTGAACTCCAGGCAACAGTGCTTCAGGCTCTTGGATTGGATTGTCTTGCGAAGCTCAAGCAAAATCCACCAATTCCCAAAATCTCATTTGCTTAATGTAGACGCGTGAAGAGCCACAGTATCAATAAGTTTCCATCTCAGCTAAATTTCATTCTAGTGGAATGTACCCGCTCCAATTATTGAGGCTCTAAATTCTCTTGGTCCTAGGCCGCTGGTGCTTGCCCTCTCGCGTTCCATGTTGGTGCGAAACATCTGCGCCGGGACGCTTGGGGCTGCGCTGCTGACAGCAGGTGGCAGCTACTGCAAGGGACTTTCCAACGTCTTGTTCGGGGATGCAAAACCCTCAACCCCAAATCCTAAACCCTAAACCACTAAACCCTAAACCCTAACCCCTAAACCCCAAATCCTAAACCCTAAACCCCTAAAACAATATTGACTCTTTTCTTTTGGACGTTTTGGTCTGTGCTTGTGAGCTAAAAGTTGCTGCACCCAACCGCCCCTCCAAAAGGCTTTGAAATTCAAAGCGCTGATCCAGCAGCTTCAACCTCACAGTCTTCCTTGTTATCAAAACTGGATCAATGTTAGGGATACTTTATACTTTTCGGGGTACGGGATTCCTTGTATTTATGTAAACAGGATCCTTTTTTTCTTCCTAAGGTAATGTGGGCTAAATAAAAATGTTGCTTCAATTTCAGGGATGTTAGGGCTACTGTATATTATATTGGGGATTATAATTGGGATAATGGAAAAGAGAATGGAAACTACTATTTAGGGTTCTAGGGTTGCTATCAAGACATGTTGGTTTGAAGCTGAGGGTGTTTAAGAGACATTGTTTAGATGATGGCTTTTCGGCGCACAGGATTAAGCTCATCCATGGTCGCAGCTTTTTGACCCGTTCTTGCCAACGACAACCTTCACAAGTTGCCATGAACCCGAACGTAAAACAGTGAGTGTACTTAGAGAAGGCACTGGGCTGAAGAACATTCGAGGTGGGGGGCGTAGGGTTCCAGCATTCAAAGTACTGCAGGCACCTGGACCCCAAACCCGAAGCCCTGAAGCTTCACGACCAAAATCCCCCCAACCCCAAAACCCCAAACCGAAAAAGGAACCACAAATGCCCAAACCGGAAAAGGAACTACAAATGCTGGGACCCTAAACCCTAAACCCTATCCTTTGACAGGTTGCTGCAGAGGCACAACCCTTCAAGTGCTCATGGGCCTCGGGCTGCTTGTCGCGAGCCAAAGGCCGCTAAGGATGCACGGGTCGAAGGGTTTTGGATTTTGGGCTTTGGGGTTTAGGGTTTAGGGGTTTAGGGTTTAGGGGTTTAGGGGTTTAGGGTTTAGGGTTTAGAGTTTACGGGTTTAGGGGTTTAGGGTTTAGGGGTTTAGGGTTTAGGGTTTAGGGGTTTAGGGGTTTAGGGTTTTGGGGTTTAGGGGTTTAGGGTTTAGGGAAGTAGTAGCACTCTGGAAACGTCA